AAGCATTACTTTGGCAAGCCTACCACACTTTCCGTTTCATAGTCGTGCAGTTAGCAGTTGGACATCTGTCACAAACATCCTAAGATTTCTTGCAGAGGTTTCATGAGGGTTTCAAGGAGCATTGAATCGCTAGTAGGCCCTAATTTCAGAAACGAACATCTGCTCCTGAATCGATTATCCAGCGATTTTTGTCCGAAGGCAAAATTCGAACCACTTTGACAATCTGCTCGGCAAATTGGTTCCCTGGATACATCACTTTTAAAAGACACCTCTCACCGTGAAAGTTAAAATCAACGAGATAACTTCTTCAAAAAGATTAGGCTATCTAACAATGCACTCATCACTTAAAAGAAGAGAAAAGGAGGTATTAAACAAAAACATACTATTCCTTCCTAACATTTGTTCACCTGCAAGTGCCCTAACTGCATAGGAATGTTGAAATTGAATAAATATAGCTCATTAGTAATATTCGGGGTACAGAAAAAATGGCTTTTGTCAACCAGAAATTTAAGGGTCTATAGGTGCTGAAGACGCTATGTGTTGTCAGACGTGGGCCAAAAGACAGGTGCGGAGCGAAAGCTTAACCATTCATTTGCTTGATCCCTTTATAAACTTCACAAAAGCATCCCAGAACTCTAGATTTTGGAGTATCCGGTTTATAATCCAAGTAAAAAAATAATTGAGAAGCTGTATGGGGTGCTAAGTAGCTCTAAATACCAGAAAGAGTTGATAAGCACTTGTTTATAGCTGAAGAACACGAAAATGATCTTTGAGAAAACAGACGAGTTTTGATATTCCTTTTAAGCTCTCCCAGCTAACCTCTCAGATAGACCTGGTGAATTAACGAAAAAAAAACCGAGTCTCTGGTTAACCTCGTAACTGACCCTCTTTCTGCACTTACAGTAGTCTCGATGAAAAATTCGAAACCACTCCATCACTCGACTGACACTTAGCCAGGAAATGAAAATTACTCTCCCCACGGCCATTGTGTGCTGGGAGTAATCCGATTTCGAAAAACAACCACATGCTGTTGATTCTCGACGTGACAATTCTGGAAATGGCCAGGGAGAAGTGAATCTATTTGCTCATACTATGAAAAAACGTAAATCTTTCAAAATTTTGAGGCTTTTCTCAAAATTCCAAGAAATCGGTACATATTCACGTTTGTTTTAAAATTAGAATCTGAGAAAAAGGGTAGGAAAAGTATATAGCGCCACCTAGAAGACGACTGACGGATTGCTTCTTGGGGAATCCTTCAGAATGCCAAATAGGGAACTCGGGTGAACTTGGGAGCGGTTTTCGCCCGGTGTAAGGGGAGGGAGTCGCAATTGAAGGTTGAAATTTGAGAAAAGAATCGCGTCATGTAAGGAATTTCATCCTCCTACACCTGTCCGACACGCTTGATCCTGGCCGATAAGAACGTCGCATGGATTGAGATCGATCTAATCCTTGACAATCGAAAGCCGCTAGTGCAAACCGACAGCGCATGATCTCATAAATAGAAATTACTCGTCCTTGTGTGATTGGTATTACATGACAATGGTTATTTCATATCCTTATGGAGCGATTTTTCGAACGAGCACACTGACACTAAATTGTGACCCCCTACAAGACTGAGCCGCCCATTCGCAGATGTTCCCAGCCACGAAAAACTCTTCCTAATGGCAGTGTTAGTGAGCTCAATGGTGGCATTAAAGTACTCGGCTGTAAGTTATCCATTAGTGGTGCCAACTGGCTTTGGCATGTATGGAAGGGCGGACAGACTGACAGGGACTCAGCCTGCAAAGTGCATTCAGTGCGAGAAATTCACTATTCTTCGGGTCTCTTTGTTCTTCGGAATTGCTTTTGCTAAAGTACAGCGCAGGGGATATGAATAGGCTATCTAGCATTGTGCCAAGGTAAATCCTTCATTAGGTCGCTTTCAAAACACAAAACGGTCACTTCAAGACGAACACTGAATTTTCAAAAACTTGCTCAAAAAGCAATGATTCATCGGTCAAATTTCGAGTTCAACTGCTCAAAGTACTTTCAAAATGGACCGTCTTCAGCAATGGAGGTGATAAAAGGATGTAGCCGTTATTAATACTTACTTATATTCCGTGATAACCTCTGTAAGAAAGTGGTCATTTGTTTCTTGATAATAAATTCAGCGCCTGATCAAATACCCTACAAATGAGGGATGGTTCCTCATCGAGATTTCTAGCAAACGCATGAATAGACAACGATTTCCCACCATGAACATATCCTTCAAAAAAAGCACCACAGTTGGCCATGCAGCTGAGCTATAAAGCCAAAAAGAAGTTCAAGGCAGACAAAAAAGTTTAAGGATCCCAAACTCTACTAGTATCCCATTCTCGATAAGAGAACAGAAAATTCAAGTTCGAATTGGATGAAGATCTAAAGAAACACTTCTTACAATCCTGTACAGGCTGACTGCTCGACTGACACATTGAGGGGCGTTTGTACGTCATCTTCGATAAATATTGAAAAGTCGACGGTTCTAGAAATTCCTGGAACATTTCTGTTCGAAGGTAAGTAAGATGGAGATGACCTTCACACTTCTTCCTAACGATTCTCAAGCGGAAGCTCAAAAGGCAAGCGTTTAAACGCTCCAAAATCATAGGTGGAAAGTTGCCTCGAGAAAAAAACCGCATGAATACATACTAATAAGTCTCAAAGCACTCCACTTAGCTCTTTCAAACTAAGAAGCGGAAATGTACTTGTAACATCTCAGCATGAAAGGCTCGCCACTAAGTTTGTTCCTTTAAGGAATAATTGGTAGAGGGGCCAAATAACCGGAAGGGTACATTTTTCTTCGTTTCTGAATGGTGCTGTCACACCATCAATTAGCTCCCACTTATGAGTCTGATATCACTTTCATCACAAAATCGGTACTCTGATGAATAATATTAACCACAACCATCTAGAAACCATCCAAAGAGCAATTCGACTCGTTTTCACACCCACTGTTGAATGACAACTAACTGTGGGGCTT